CTGAAGATCCCTAGTGCTCAGTGTGGCTCCTGTGCTGGTGTGTGGGGGCAAGATGGGGTCCCAGATGCTCACGAAACTTTCTTGCCTTCAGTTGGCTCCCAGGCATGTGTGGGAGGGGCGGGGGAGGTCACTGGAGTTCCTGAATCTGTCTGGGGTTCAGCCCGGCTTCCACAAGAGTGGGGAGGTTGTAGGTCATGGTTACCGAAGCTTCAGATATTGCCCAGGACTGAGCCTGCTTCCCACACTGGCAGAGGAGGAGTGAGGGTGAACTCCCCAAGCCCACTGACTCTGTCCAGGTTTCACCTGGTCTCCCAGGGTGTGCGAGTTATTCTGAGAGTGACTACCAAGGCCCCAGAACTTGCCCAGGGCTCCACATACCTCACACACTAGTGGGGGAGGCACGGGAGTAGCTCACTGGGGTTCCTAAAGATGTCTGGGATTTAGCCCAGCACCCACAGACGTGATAGGGGTGCTGTAAGTGGCCACTGAGGCCCCAGAGGGTGCCAGTAGCTCCACCTGCCTCCCATGCTGGTCAGGGAGTCACAGCGGCAGCTCATCAGGGTTCCTGAAGATGTCCAGGGTTCAGCCCAGCACCTGCTCACACACTATGGGTGTGCCGAGTAGCCACTGAGGCCCCAGAGGGTGCCCGGCACTCTGCCTGCCTTGCATGCTAGTCAGGGAGGCTAGTGGCGACTCACCAGGGTTCCTGAGGATGTCCGGGCCACTTTACTGTTTAAAGCTAGAGAAAATCCTACTTAACTGGGATAGATAATTCTTTCTCTTGCATAGAAGATTTTATTTTTGTAGTTATTTTCCACAGAACAATATATGGCTTGTAAGATGGTTGAACCACTGAGAAGAGGAATGAAGTAGTGCCTGATGCACTAGAGTCTTAAACATTTGGTTGATTTTATTTATTTATTCAATCTCTTTATAAGGTGATGCATAGCTATTGTCTTGGGTCCTTTGGAAATATATAGACAGGATTCTATCCTTCCAGGAGTTTTTGGGAACATACCAAGCATGGTCTATTTCTTGGTTTGTGACCTTGCCTCATTCTTACTAATCTGCTTTCTGTATGCCTGAGTGGCAATGCTGAAGTTATACATACTTGGGATGGGATAAAAATTTACTGCCTGGTTGTTTTTGTTAAGGAAGATGTGGCCCTTTAAAGAACTTAGATGTTTATTTATTTATTTTAGTTTTAGTTTTAGTTTTTTTGAGACACAGTCTCACATGTAGCCCCATCTGTCTGTGTATATAGCCCAGGCTGGCCTTGAACTTGCAGCCATCCTCCTGCCTCAGCCTCCTGTGTGCTGGGATTACAGAGGTGCACCACCACACCCAGATTTCTCTTCTCCATATCAAAATTTAGTTGCCTCTTTGAATAAAACATTAGATGGCATTTGTGTTTGTACTTTTCTATATTTGACTTTATTTTTTGTAATAAGTACACCTTATTGGCATAATCAGAAAAATGTGAAAGTTATTTTATTATAAAAATAAATAAAGATTGCTTCTTGTTCAGTTCCATTAGGTCTCAGTAGGAGGTGGACTAATGTAGTTTAAATGCATTTTCTTGCCTCAGTCAGCATTAACTCCAGCCATCCAGCCTAATTCATAAATTCTGAATATATTCTTAACCCCTGCATCCAGTTCCTGTCTAAATTCTGTCCGTTGTCCCTTTAAACATCTCTCAGATATGCCCGCTCCTTTCTGTCCACTTGCTTAGGTCTTTATCATCTCTCACCCTTCCGCTTCATCAGTTGACTTCTAGTTGTCTCCTCCCCAGCGCTGTCTCCTAAATCTCCTACTTAACACCCTCCACTGGCTCCTTACCTCTGTGCGGTTTGAATCAGAATGTCTCATACATGTTGCCCTATAAGTTCAAGTTCCAATGCTAGCTTTACCTCTTGCTGCCTTTCCAGAAGTACCCGACACTGCAACAACACTCAGCTACCTTCATGTCTCCTGGGTGTTTCTGGCTCACCTCTTCTTGTGACCTTTCACCTTATTTTTCCTTTGCTTGAAATGTTCCTTCTCCCTGCCTGACAACTCAACTCCAACTGTTTCAGGATGGTGGGCTAGGTTAGCATTCCACCATTCTCCTTTCCCTCTCTTCCGGGACTCAGTTGTGATAATTTTTCCATCTACTCCTACTATATGCATCAGATAATAACATCAACAGTAATAATCACTAATATTGATTGCACACTTTTATATGCCAGGATGTGTATGTAATGCTTTGCAAGTATCATCTCATCTAATATAATGAACTTGTTATGTAGGCAACCACCCCCACCCTCTCAGCCCCCCACCCCCATTCTGGAGATTGAAGCCAGGGCATCACACATGCTAAGCACTTTACTACTGAGCTGTTTCATTTTGGGACTGGGGGTTGACCCAAAAGCCTTCACACTGAGCCACATCCCTACCCCTATCCTTCTTAAAAATTATTATTATTTTTATTTTGAGACAGGATCTTGCTAAATCATTAAATTGGCAGGGCTGGGCTCCAATTTGTAATCCTCCTGCCTCAACTTCCCAGAGTGTTGGGATTACAGGTGTGCACCACCATGCCTGGCAGGTAGGCATTTTTTAAAAGCATCTTTTAGCTGGATGTGGTGATGCACACCTGTAATCCCAGCGCTCGGGAGGCTGAAGCAGGAGGATCACTGTGAGTTTGAGGCCAGCCTGGTTACAAAGTGAGTTGAAGGCCAGCCTGAACTGCATAGTGATACTCCGTCTCAAAAAGACAAAAAAAAAAAAAGCATCTTTTTATTGTAACACTTATTCCGTTGTTCTGAACTGCCTTAGTTATCTATATCCCTAATAGAGAGTCTTATTCATCTTTATCTCCCTACAAAATCATTACATGTTTGTACATGTGTTTTTGGGAACATGATTATGTCAACATTAGCGTTTAACTAAGCATCAATCCGAAGGATTGAGCGATAAGAGATTTTTCAAGCAAGTGATGAGAAATGTGTGGATTCTGTTCAGAGGCTTTTGAGTATCTCCAATCATATTATGTGGCGTTCACCTTTACACTATATGATAGCATCACTCTGCTCATTGCTTAAGGAAACAACCTAGAGTTACCTTGTTTACTACCTTTCTTCATAGTTGCACCTCAGGGAAGCATCCTGAAATCTTTCAACTTCTATTTTCATAGTAACTACCCCTAATCTGGGTAAATACCATTTATCTCATAGCCTTGCCCAATAACTTCCTTTTGTTCTCTGGTTTCTCCTTCCATTTCTGCTTCTCTCCAAGTCATTTCCTTCCTTCCCTCCCTTCCTCTTTCTCTTTCTTTCTTTCTTTCTTTTTCTTTCTTTCTTTCTTTCTTTCTTTCTTTCTTTCTTTCTTTCTTTCTTTCTTTCTTTTTTCCTTTCTTCCTTTTTTTTTCTGTTCAGGCTGGCCTTGAGCTCACTTTGTAGGCCATGTTGGCCTCGAACTCCAAAAGATCCTCCTACCTCAGCCTCCTAAGTGCTGGGATTATGGGCATGCGCCACTACACCCGGCTCTTCCTTCTTTCCTTTCTTTCATCTTTCTTTTTTTTTTTTTTTTTTTTTTTTGAGACAGGGTCTCGATATGGAGTTCAGACTGGCCTTGAGCTCACTTTGTAGCTCAGGCTGGTCTCGAACTCACAATGATCCTCCTGCCTCAGCCTCCCAAGTGCTGGGATTACAGGCATGTGCCACCACGCCCAGCTAAATTCTGATCTTTGTTTTTGTCACACCCCCCCCCTCCGGTACTGGGAATCGAACTCATGACCTTGTGCTTGCCAGGCAGGCGCTGTGCCGCTGAGCTAAATCCCCAGCCCTCTTTCATCTTTCTTAATGTGGCACTGAGAATTAAGCACAGGGCCTTGGACATGCCAGGCAAATATCCTATCACTGAATTACATCTCCACCCTTTTTATCCTTTATTTTGAGATAGGGTCTTGCTAGTTCGCCCAGGTTTATCTCAACCTTTGTACCCTCCTGCCTCAGAGTCCCGTGTAGCAGGGGGTATAAGCATGCACATGGCCATTCTGACAGCGGAGGAGCGAGCAGCCGGGCCAGGCTGGCTGACACTGGTGTGAGCCTCTTCGTCTCTGCTGCCCCCAGCATTCTCTTTACGTACCTTTAGCCCAAATGCTCCTACGCCTTTGCCTTCGTAAAATCTAAGCGATTGTTATCTAATCTGTGTCCTAAACGTTTTGTTATCTAATCTGTGTCCTAAATGTCTCTGCATCATTTTTTTTTTTATAATGAACTCTCAAGGACCCTTTTAAATTACTCGATTGTCCCATCTTTTCACGTGACTTGTCCCCTTATCTAGTTGGCAGGCTGCTGAAGGACACAGTCAAGCATGATTTAGAGCATAAACCGACTCCTAACAAAGGTCCTGGCGAGGGCTTCTATTTTGTTCCTTGAAGGTTAGTTTCAACCGCACGATCCACGGTTCCACCAGGAGCGCCTCCGAGTCTAGAGAAGCAGCGCCTGACCGCCCTGTCCCGCGCTACCGCGCAGGGTGCCGTTTGGGACTCGCGGGAAGTTCCCTCGGTCCGGTTTCTGCCGCACGTGCGGGTGGTAAGGGCCAGCACGCTGCGGCCGCCCGCTAGCGAGCGGGGGTCCCGGGGTCGCAGCCCCGCGCGCCAGGGAAGGGGCGGGGCGGG